AGGGCTAGCTCACATCATGCATGCTGCTGCAACTAGTGCTGAAAGGATGTTGTGATATTCTTGGATTATAACTTGGGTTTTGTGCAGTAGTACAGTGAATCACGGTTGGTATCGGCATAAGTCGACAACATGGCTGTTATTATGTGTATGGCAGCCCCTTTTTTGTGAAGGTGACAGATATTGTTCACTGAAGCATAGTGTTGTTTGATTTAAGCTTTGATTTGAAGAATAGGATTGCAGCACCTCGCATAAGCAACCTAGCAGCAAAGCACTTCAACGTTTTTTATCAGTGGAGTAGGTCACTGGTGAAGAGCAACTAGAGCTGTTTAACTGAGTGACTCCACATAGAAGACAAGGTGAGGGTGCTGGTCAAAGAGTTCTTCAGGACAACAAGTCATTTCGCAGCACAACACAGGTACAAACATGTGTCCTCTTTATTAAACCTTTACTATGGAGATGATTCAGCCCAGGCCTTAACTAAACCACATTTGGCCACAGTTGTCCCTCGCTTTCCCTTGCACCAAAAATGTGCCTGCAGCAAGATGTATAGTGCAGTGCCGGAGGCGACCGTGGAGGAACTCTACAACTGCTATGGCGGTGTAGCCCGGTACGTGCTTCAACGTCCGTTCGAGAACCCCAGCTGGGGGTTGCCTAGGCTGCTGCAGCCACTGACCAGAATCCTGGCTACTTGCAACGTTCAACAGGTGAACCATTGTAGTTTGTTAGTCCTCTGCCTGAACTTCATGTCGTTTTAGGTCACTGCCTAGTTTTCGCCTGCATTGCCTGAGTTTTCAATGTTGATGTTCCTTCCATCCAGTAGAAACTCATTCTGTTTTTTCACACTGCAGCTGAGCACCTATGTCCTCCCATGTCCTGCTGACGTTTCATTTTTTGGCGAGTTGTACCCTGCCTTTCACATGCAACACACCTGTGGCCTGGCCTGCCTCCCTGGTTGCTCCCATCACATTAGGTTCGGGCGGCCATGGATGCCATCGACATGGGACCTGAGGCGAGCCATCGCCTGGTCCATATTGTGCCTTACGACAACTTCAAGGAGAAGCGGCTAACGTTTGCTTCTGATTGGGTGGCTGAGGAGTTCACCAAACGGGCTTGGATAGATGAGCAGGATCAAGTGAAGTCTCTGATGGAATACAGCGCCGAAGCAGTAAAGGGGATACTTTTTGAGAAGGTTATGCATGGTGTACTGGCGATGGGCGGCAAGTTTGATGTGGTGCCATTGCACCCGGAGACTCTGGAGCGAGGCGAGGAGGAGGAGCTGGACATC